GCAAGGGGAGGGGCAGAGGGAGAAGCAGGCTCCCCACCAAGCAGGCAGCCTGATGCGGGGCTCGATCCCAGGACCCTGGGATCATGACCTGAGCGAAGGCAGAGGCTTAACCCATTGAGCCACCCAGGTGCCCTCCATTGGTGGGATTTTTATTAAACATCAGGCTTTCACTGAAATTCTGGCCATGGAGCTTCCTCTTCATAGACATCCCTCTCACAGTGTCTGAAGGTTCCAGAAAGCTCCTTCCTGCTCAGCTGGCATTCCACTCTGATTTCACTGTTTCCTGTGTTGGCCTCTTCCCTCCCTTTCTCCTACCTTTCCTGTCACCTTCTGTCCTTTTCTTCTTTCTTTCCTCCCTCCCTGCTTCCTTCCTTCCCTCTCTCCTTCTTTCCTTCTTTTTCTTCTTTCTTCTTCTCCTCCTTCTCCCTCTCCCTCTCCTTCTCCTTCTTCATCATCATCTTCTTTTGTGAGGGAGGAGATCTGGAAATTTTTGTCTTCTCACAGGCTCTCCATACATTTAGAAGGATGTTTGGAAAGAGGTGAGATGACAATGGGGTCACAGCTTGGATTCCCCCCCACCCCACCCCCGCAGGGATAGCTTTTACCTGATATAATTTTGAACGTACAGAAAAGTTCCCAGACTCGTGCAAAGAATTTCACAGATGCTTTACCAGGCTCCAGGTCTCGCTGTCCCCAACCTCCCTTTTGTCTTATCATCCCATTGTTCTCTCTCTGTATTATTATATATTTACATTTCCAGAGGCATATGAGAAAACACCAGAGGTACCACGCTCCTTTGTCCCTAAATACAGCAGTGTGTATTTGCTAAGAACAAGGACATTCTTTTTAAGAACCACAATGCAATGATCCAAGTCAGAAAACTTCACGTGGATCAATTCCTATGATCTAATGCACAGAACTCACTCAAATTCCATAAAGCGTCTTACAACCAGGATATCACCTGATTGCTCAAAGGACTGCCGCTGGAGTCCATTCGTATGACTGTCCTCCCTCTTCCTCTTTCTCCACCTTGACCTTTTGGAAGAGTCAAGGCCGGTTCTTGGACAGAAGGTCTCCTGACTGGAGAATGTTTGATGTCTCCTCACGATTAGATTCAGGCTGGGTGGCACGGTTTCTTAATCTTCCATGGGGCTCACAACCCTGAGATCCAAGAACTGAGGTGAGATTAAGTTAAGTCTAACGCTTTGGGTGCCTGGGGGGTTCAGTCGGTTAAACGTCCGCCTTTGGCTCAGGTCATGATCCCAGGGTCCTGGGATGGAGCCCCGCATCAGGATATCTGCTCAGCAGGGAGTCTTTTTCTCCCTCATCTCCACACCCCCAGCCCCACTTGTGCTCTCTCTTTCTCTCTCGTGAGCTCTCTCAAATAAATAAATAAATAAATCTTAAAAAAAAAAAGAGTCTGCAGCTTAACTGACTGAGCCATCCAGGCGCCCCCAGAATCTCTCATTTGGAAGGACAAAGCTCCATGCTTTAAAATATAGTATTATTAAGTGTGTAAGCCTGATGATTCACAGACCTGTACCCCTGGGGCAAATAATACACTATATGTTAACAAAAAAATTTAATTTTTTAAAAAGGAAAAAAATGGTATTATTGAAATATAGTTGACATAAACATTGTATAAATTCAAGGCACATAGCCTGTTCATTTGATACATTTACATACTGTAATATGATTGTCATTATAGCAATAATGGACACTTCTATCGGGTTACATAATTATCCTTTCTTTTTAGAAAGGATAGCTCTAGTCTAGTAGCTCTAGTCTTGTGAAAACTGGAACTCTGGGAGTAAAGGAGAGAAAAGCTTCAAATACTAGTGGGAGAGGAAACTGACCTGTCTACACAATTTTGGAGAGCTTGATGTACTGAGAGGTTATATATATGTATCTTTTCCTTTTTAAAAATATTTTATTTTTGGGCACCTGGGTGGCTCAGTGGGTTAAGCCTCTGCCTTTGGCTCAGGTCATTAATATCTCAGGGTCCTGGGACCAAGTCTGCATAGGGCTCTCTGCTCAGCAGGGAGCCTGCTTCCCCCTCTCTCTCTGCCTGCCTCTCCACCCACTTGTGATCTCTGTCTGTCAAATAAATAAAATCTTAAAAAAAAAAAAAGATTTTATTTTTAAGTAATCTCTATGCCCAACATGGGGCTCAAAACTACAAACATTAAGCATCACATGCTCTTCCTACTGAGCCAGCCAGGCACCCCAACAAGAGGGGTTTTATTTTTATTTACTTATTTTAAAGATTTTATGTATTTGGGAGAGAGAGTGTGAATGAGAGAGCACATGAGCAGGGGCAGAGGGAGAGGAGGAAGCAGACTCCCCACTGAGCAGGAAGCCAGACGTGGGTCTCTATCCCATGACCCCAGGACCACGATCAGAAACAACAGCAAACGTTTCACTGACTGAGCCCCGCAGGTGCCCCAAGAGAGGTTACGTTTTTATTTTTTATTTATTTATTTTTAAAGATTTTATTTATTTATTTGACAGACAGAGACCACAAGTAGGCAGAGAGGCAGGCGGGGGGGGGGGGGTGGAGGGGAGGCAGGCCCCCCGCCGAGCAGAGATCCAGATACGGGGCTTGATCCCAGGACCCTGAGATCATGACCCGAGCTGAAGGCAGAGGCTTTAACCCACTGAGCCACCCAGGTGCCCTGAGAGGTTACGTTTTTAAATATTGTCTGGAAAGAGCAAGGAGTGAACTTTGAGAACGCTGAGCCCAGGAGAGCTATCCTGGCGCACACCCCTCTTGTATGTACTTACGCGTGAGCAAGACCAGATGAGAGTAGGAAACTGCAGAGGTAGGTACTGAGTTCAATAGCATTCCCTGGAAATTTGTGTTCTGCTGAAACCCGTGAATATGGCCTTATTTGGAAATAGGGTCTTTGTAGACATAATCAGATTAAGATGAGGTCATCCTGGGTTGGACTAGGTCCTACATATGATGTGACTGGGGTCCTCGTAAGAGGGCGATTTATTTATTTTTTTTAAAAGATTTTATTTATTTATTTATTTGACAGAGAGAGAGAGAGAGAGAGAGATCACAAGTAGGCATAGAGGCAGGCAGAGAGAGGGGGGGAAGCAGGCTCCCCACTGAGCAGAGAGCCCAATGCGGGGCTCGATCCCAGGACCCTGGGACCATGACCTGAGCCGAAGGCAGAGGCTTAAACCACTGAGCCACCCAGGCACCCCAAGAGGGAGATTTAGACGCAGACACACACAGACACTTGGGGGAAAAGACCATATGGAGACGGAGATTGGGGTGACATGTTTCTAAGCCAAGGGACGCCAAGGATTGCCAGCGGACCACCAGAAGCTGGGAAGAAGCAAAGAAGTCTTCTTCCCAAGAGACTTGGGAGAGAGGCTGTCCCTGCCAACACCTTGATTTCAGACTTCTACGCCCCAGAACTGTGAGGGAGCACATCTCTGGTGTTTTAAATCACTCAGTTTGTGGTACTTCGTATGGCGGCCCCTGGGGAAAATCATACGCTCCCCTTTCCACCCTCCTGCCGGTTGGCGGCAACCACTAAGCTGATTTCTGTGTCTAGGAGTTTGCCTAGTCCTCAGAATTTTTTGATCCAAGAGGTCTGGGGTCAGGAACGTGCATTTCTAGCAAGTTCCCAGGCGGTGCTGATGCTGTTGGCCTTTCTACAGCATCTCAAGCGTAGAGCACCTGCCAAGAGCTGACAAAGGGCACCCCCAGGCCCTAGAACTGAACCAATAAGTTCACCTACTGGGATCCCTTCCCAGGCTGGCTCCCCAGGTTGCTGCCAATTTCAAGGGCGAGACCCCGCTGTCCTTTTGGTGCACTTTGCAACTCCCCACTGAGCACACTTTGCACCCCATCCTGTGAAAGCTGCCGGTGAGTTTTGTGGCATCTCGGCTCCTGCTTCCGGTGACAACACTCTCCCCCACCTGAGCCAGCCTCTGCCATCAGAGCAGAAAACCACCCTTCCACAAGATACAGACTTTCATCTCCTCCGGGCACTGACTCCCTCCCATGAACTAGCTGCCGGGACCCGCACTGATATCCCCCCACTCTTCCACGGAGATGTTCGTCTCATTGGAACAGGGGAATTAAAATGAGGGGTCCAAGACCACAAGTCCCAAGGGCCTGCGGTAGTTGGTCAGACACCCGGGACCTAAAGGGCACTGACCATGAGCCCCGGGAAGGGGTCATCTGTATCTCTGTCCTCCTGTCTTTCCTAACTGGGAAATAACCCTAGAAGCAATGTGGAAATCTAGATGGTGGGGAGGGAGGGATAACAGGCAACTGGGGTCTGGGACTGGGGTCTGTGACGGTTGTTAAGTTCTGGAGTCCCTAAGCACCTGGATGGAAGCATTTAGATCCTCAAGTGTTCTCCTGGGGACCAGGACTCCCAGTCTCCAGAGTCTGCCCTCAGACCGGTGTTCCACGTTCCTCTTCCCCTGTTCTCCTGGGACCCAGGCGTCCAGATATCCAGCTCTCTGATCCCTCAGGACTCAAGAGTCCCATCTCACACCAATTATGGCCCTAGGATCCAAGAGCATTTGCCTGGGCCCTGAGGACCCAGACGTCATCCCATTCCTTGTGCTAAGTGGATCCTGAAAACTACATCTCCCATGAGGCTGTAGGTCTGCAGTGTCATTGTTTAAATGCTCCCTGTTATTGAGGTACCTCAGAAAAATAGTTCCACACCACAAGCAAGAGGTTGGGGGTGGGTTGGGGAGGGGGTGGGAGGTTGACAAGTCTTCTCCTGTCAAAGGGCAGAGATAGTCCAGAGTCCCTGGGGACACCAAAGCAGAGCAGAAAACTGAGGCCCAGAGGGCAACTGGGACCTTCCCACAGCTTCCTGACAATGGGGGCAGGGGTGCTTGGGGTGGATGGGAGACGGGGAAGCAGATCCCATATCCTCCCTCAAACACTCACACAGGCTCACTCGGATCCTCCTCTCAGATTCTTTATTATCCCAAGTAAGAAAAATAAAAAAATAAATAAGATAAATAACCCAATAAATAAAGAGGAGACCCCATAATAAACAGCCCGCGGCTTCAGGAAACGTAGCTGGGACTTTGACCCTGCGAAGGCCCCACCATGCTCAGGGGGTCTGAGGAGCCCACATCAGGAGGCTCGGGGGCTGGGATTCCGGGGGGCTCTGGGGTGGCCGGAAGCAGACCTGGCAGGGGCAGGAAGCGGGCAGGTCCCCGGGGCACCAGGTCCCGGTATGGGGAGTCGTGGGGGGGCAGGCGCAGTGGGAGGCCCAGGGTCTCAGAGTGGTAGATGTTGTACCCATCTTCCAGAAGCACTTCGCGGAAGCTGCAGGCTATGGGGTCGAAGTGGAACTGGGGAATAAGAAGATAGATCAGAGACATGGAATCCCTTCCCATCTTCCTGCTGCAGGACCCAGGCATCCGGGCAGGCGCCCTCCTCCCTCGGACCTGGGCGTCTGGGGGCCCCCAGCTCTCTCTTCTTTCTGACCACAGAGTGCTCCCCTCCAACAGGATACAGGAGTCCAGACACTCCTAGAGAGCTGGGGGAGCCCCTCCTCCCTCAGATCCAGAGTCCAGGTCCCCAACCACAAACAACAGAAGCAGGCTCCTCCTTCCCCTCTGGGCAGTCCACCTCCTGACCCCACTTCCCCGAGAGGATTATTCCAGCCCAGGGAGCAGTCGGGGCTCTCTGAGTCCAGACAGCAGCATCTGGCTTCCCCCCAGGGGTCACGGTCACTTTACAGGCCATGGGTCCTCGGAGGGACCCTGTGCCCAGCAGGAACGGGACATGTAAGAGGACCATGTGGCCACCAGGGGTTCTGAGTCACAAGACTCAGCCTCTCAGGCCACTCTGTCATTCACAGGCCTCGTGACTCGCAGCTGGCGTGTCCCTGTGTCAGCCTCAGTTTCCTCTCCTTGTAAACATGGACAAGGTCGGCTCCCACAGGTAGGGGGGCTGGCGTGGTGCAGGCACGTGGAGAGCACAGGACCAAGCCTGGCCCAGGCCACAGGTGCCAGACGTGGTACCCCAGATGGGTGTAGATGACAGGAGGGAGGGTGGAGCACAAGGGGGGGCACCCCGGAAACTCACCGATCCGTACAGTGTCCCATCCGGGCCCTGGCACAGGAACCTGGATGTTTTCACTCCCAAGATCTGAATGACCCCTGGCTTCAGGGCTTTCAGCTCCAAGAGACCTGAGGGGGAGAAAGTGGTCAGGGACTCAGAGGGCCTCTGCCCAGGCCCCTCTCTCTTGGACCTGGGAGTCCAGGCCTCCAGCCCCTCCTCCCGCAGACCACCCCTGGTCTATATACTCACTTTCGGGGCTCCGGCGGGCAGCCCCCGCCACCGTGCCATCAGCCCTGATCTCTAGGTGGGCCTCCGTCTCCTGAGTGTCATCTGTGTAGAGGTACCGCTGTCGAACTTGGCCTCCAAATTGGAGGAGGGGGCTGGAGTCAGGGATAGGGTGTGCCTGGCAGGCTTCCAGCAAAAGGACAGCCAGCACAGGGACCCACAGCCCCAGGTGCTCGGACCTGGCCTCCTTCCAGCCCATCAATGGCTCACGTCCTCAGGCGATATCTGCGGTCTGGGGTCTGACAAGCGAGCGGAATGGTAGAGATTCTGCTCCAGATCCTGGCCGTCTGGGAGAGCAGAGTCACGGATCCCTGTTTAGCCTGATCACCTGGGTCCTCTCGCACGTGGATTCCCAGCTGAGCCGAACACCCAGGTCTCCTAGAAGGGATGAAGGCGCTCCAAAATTTATATCCAGACAGACCCGCCCCATCACCTTCCCCACACCTGACCCATGATATTTGACCCACTTGGCAGGAGCCAGGATTCCACGGTGGCCAGATCACTCTGAACGGATGATGCAATCCGGGGGGGGGTTCCTTCCAGGTAGGGGCCTGGACTTCCCAGTGTGAGGAATTAGGGGGAGAGGGGTCGGAAGAACTGGGACCTGGGAGACAGGGGCTGGGGGGACGGGGCCCCTGGAATCTCAGGGAGGGGAGGGCTGGGGGGCAGGGGGCTGGAAATCTGCTTCCCTGACTGACAGACGCAGACTGTGTCCCATAATTGGAATTTCTGCACGCCACCTGAATTTCTAGGTTTCTGGGGGTCACACGCTGATGTTCCTCGATCATCAGGAAGGCTGCGAATGCCACATGACCAAAGCGTCCCCTGCAGGGACAGAGGCATCCTGACCTCAACGTCACCAACCCCAGCCCAGACGCTCCTCCTGCACCAAAGGTCCCAGTCTCTCTCTCTCTCTCTCTCTCCTCCCTGATGCAATCCTGGTGTTTCTTTCACCAGAGAAGCTATCCCCAGGCCCAGAAGGGAGCTCTCAAAATAGCTTGGGGCAGGGGGAGGGTGAAAGTCTCTGACCCAGCGTTGGCGGCCCAGCCAGGCTCTGGAGGGGGAACTGAGAGGCAGGAGCCCAAAGGGAATGAGGGGTGGGCAGTTTCCTGGAAACCAAAGGTACAGAGACTGGCCACCTGGGTCTAAGCGAGGAGGGCACTGGGGGCCTGAACTTCTCCAGCTAAAGAGGGGAGGGGGCTGGGGTTGGAAGTCCAGGGTCTGAGGAAGGAGAGCCTGGGGGCCACACTCCTGGGTCTGGAGACATTTATGGCCAAGTCTCTGGACAGTGAAGTCAAAACCCTATTGAATGTTCACGCTCCCCTGCTGCGGCCGCCCAGGGTGGGGCTGGGTAGGGCCACTTGACCATGGGAACAGCTTCAGGTGTGCTGCAGAGCAAAGCCTTTGAATCCCAACCTGGGACTGTGGGAGGATAAACTGGCTTCCACTCCTGCCTGCCAGCTCCTTCCCGGCTCAGGGGAAGGCTGCCACCAGGAGGGGTCCGTCTAGAAAGGAGCTGTCGGCACCAGACCATCCATCCACTCCCCCCGGAGGAGAGGCTGGGGGCCCCGGCTCTGGCATCTGGAGGTGTGCGGTGTGGACATGGGCGATCAGCGGCGCCTGGTGTGCGTGGGAAAACCCACCGGCCGGAGGCTCCCGCGTCTGGGACCCTGACAGCTGGAGGAGGTTTTCCATCCGCTCCAGGAGCAGCCCGGCGAACGGGTTCCTCACCCCCACAGGGAGGACGAGGCAGACGGAGGGCGGAGGATCTTACTCCCCGCCAGGGCCTGGTGTCCGGGGAGGGGCCGGGCTCCGAGCATCCAGGTACCCGGGCCGGCTGTGAGCCCGGGCGCCAGAGAAGGGGGAGAAGTCCATGGACCCGAACACCTGGGTCCAGCATCGCGTCCGGCGCTAGAAGTCCACGTCCACCGAAGGATGCCGCTGCTGGGGGCCAGGTAGGCGGGCCCTGGAAAGCCCTGTGGCCGGCGGAGGCCGGAGAGGAGGGGGCTGGGCTCAGGTCCCCGGGTCTGGGGAGGGCAGGGGGCGGAGGCTCCCACCCCAGCCTGGGGCTCCAGGGCGGGGGCGGGGCTCTGCCTCGGACCTACCTGCCTGGCCCTGGAGGGGCGGAGGCTGCGAGTCTCGGAACCGCGCCCATCTCCTTCCTCTCCTCCCCGAGCCCTTGGAGCCAGTCGGGGGAAGCGGCATGGAGGGGAGGGCTGCCGAGCCTTGGGACCTGGAGTTCGCGATTCCGGGGGCGGCCGGATGTGGACTGCACTTGCGGACGGCTCGCTGCAGTCTCGCCAAGCCGACTGCGGATCTGCCATCCGCCAGAAGCTCAGGTGAGTGGGCCTAGCAGAAGCCTGGCACCTAGGAACCTGGGCCTTCGGTCCCGGGAGGCGCATCCCCAACCTCTCGCCCCTTAGGACCCGGGGAGTCTCCACCCGGCCTGCAACTCCTGCTTCTTCAGGAGCCAAGATCCCTTCCTCCAGTCTGGGCCTCCAGACTAATCCTCTTCTGCTTGGCTTGTGTCTTCCTGTCACCTCCATAGTGGAGGCTGCCCACCTCCTCCCCTTCTCCCTAGCCCCGGGTACACCGGAGAAAGGAGTTGGTGGAATAATGCCCAACTTCAGTGGGCCTCCGGGGCCCCAGGGGAGCCATATCCCAAGATGCAGAGATGACACGCTGGGTCCTAGACCGTTGCTCTCTTGGAAAGCACCATTTCCCATCCCCGTCCCCTGAAATTCCAAGACCCCGCTTCTCCTCCCTCAGATCCAGGACCCCGATCCCCCTTCCCCTGGACCCAGGAGTCTGAATCCTTAGTATCCTCCTTCCAACAGGCCTCTGCTCCTTGACATATGTCTTTGGGTCCCTTGAGCCACTGCTAACTCATCTCTCCTCCCGTTCAGACATGTGGGCCCCCAGCCGCCGGCAGCTCTGTCTGACCTTCCTGCTAGTCTGTGTTCTTTCAGCCGTCTTCTTCCTCCACATCCACCGAGACCTCTTTCACAGTGGCCTGGACCTGACTGCCCTGTGTCCGGCCCGCCACCTGCTGACACCCCCTGTGGCCGTCTTCTGCCTGTCGGGCACGCCGATGGCGCCCAACGCCTCCTTTCCCTGTCTCAAGCCCCCTGCCTCGCTCTCAGGAATCTGGACCATCTACCCAGATGGCCGCTTCGGTAACCAGATGGGGCAGTACGCCACTCTGCTGGCCCTGGCCCAGCTCAACGGTCGCCAGGCGTTCATCCTGCCTGCCATGCACGCCGCGCTCGCCCCCGTGTTCCGCATCAGCCTGCCCGTGCTCGCCGCTGAGGTGGACAGCCGCACGCCGTGGCGGGAGCTACAGCTGCACGACTGGATGTCGGAGGACTACGCACACTTGAAGGACGCCTTCCTGAAGCTTACGGGCTTCCCCTGCTCCTGGACCTTCTTCCACCATCTCCGAGCCCAGATCCGCCGGGAGTTCACCTTGCACGACCACCTACGGCAGGAGGCCCAGGGTCTCCTGAGCCAGCTCCGTTTAGGCCGCGCGGGGGACCGCCCTCGCACCTTCGTGGGGGTCCACGTGCGCCGTGGGGACTACCTGCAAGTCATGCCCCAGTGCTGGAAGGGGGTGGTGGGCGATCGCGCCTACCTCCAGCAGGCTATGGACTGGTTCCGGGCCCGGCACGAAGCCCCCGTCTTTGTGGTTGTCAGCAATGGCATGGCCTGGTGTCGGGAGAACATCGACACCTCCCGTGGGGACGTGATCTTTGCTGGCGATGGGCAGGAGGGCTCGCCGGGGAAGGACTTTGCGCTGCTCATGCAGTGTAACCACACCATCATGACCATTGGGACCTTCGGTTTCTGGGCCGCCTACCTGGCTGGTGGAGACACGGTCTACCTGGCCAACTTCACCCTGCCTGACTCCAACTTCCTGAAGATCTTTAAGCCAGAGGCTGCCTTCCTGCCCGAGTGGGTGGGCATTAATGCCGACTTGTCTGCACTCCAGTCGCTGGCGGGGCTGTGAGCAGCAGGGAGACTTTCTGGAATCGCTGATCAGTCTTGGGGCGGCATGTATCTGGCAGCTTCTGGGGAAACCTACGGGAGCCCCACAGCTGGTACCCTCCCCCCCCCCATTTCTAGAGCGGTTCTAGCTGGCTAGACTTCGAGAGAAAGGAGGGCTCTCTGTAGCTGTCTGGACATTTTAGAATCAGCAGAAGATCTTTTCCTGTGGGTTGGCAATGCCCAGAGAGGCTCGTATCAGTTCTAGAAGGCAGCGCCTACCTGTTCATTCGAGCCCATATCCAGAGTACTTTCTGGAGGGCTGCACCCAAGCCCAGGCAACTCCCTCTTCGAATGTTGCCCCTGGTCTTCTTGAGAAGAGAGGTCCAGTCCCCAGGACTGAGGGAATTTGTGGGTGTCCTAGAGCAAGCACCCACCAACTCCCGTTCTGTGTTTCTGGAGTCATTCTAGAGATCCCCAGTTCGAGTACCTGTGGAGAATCCTGCAGGGATCTTCCAGAGGGGTGGGGTTCTGGAATTCCAGGAGAATCTCAGGAAGGTACAATCCAAATCTTAACGCCTCAACCACTGCTGGGAATATGGGTAGAAGACAGATTATGTGTAGCTGAGAGCTGACCCGAAATCTGTCTGAACCTCTCAGCCCCTGAAAAGAGAGACCAAGACTCTTTTTTGAGCAGATGGATGAAAACGTGGGAGGTGGCAGGAGGGGGACAGCTTCAGAAGTGTAGCCGGTTCTGGAGCAAAGTTTTTCAGAAATGTGGGAACACTTTTTTCATTTTTCTTTAAGCTCAAAAACTGCCAAAGACAAGCACCCCACAAGGCAGGTCTGAGTTGAGGTGGCCCCTCCCAATTACGGAAGTTTCCTCCTCTGCCTCCCCTCCCCCCACCCCCTCATCCCTCCTACCACCACTGGGCTGGGGGGTGGGGTGGTTGGGGTGAAGGGGTGAGGGGTGGGGAAGGATGATGTAATCCATTTTCTGGAATTCAGCCAGCATGAATGTTTCCTTCTGCCTTGCAGAAAGCGCCTGGCATTGTGCCCCTTGCCAACCCTGGTCTGCCCCTGATATCACAGAACCACTAAATCTGGCTTCAGGTTTGAAACGAATGGAGGGTGTGCAGACCCTCAGCAGTTCTCAGACCCAGGCTGTCCTCAGACCCAGGCAGAAAGGAATGCAGGGTCTGGCCAAGGAGGATGGGATTCTGGACTCAGATTCCAGGAACCCCTTGAGGCTTTTGGAAGGGGGTGAAGGTGGCCTGCTAGCTTTATTACAGACAACTCTGATCACATCTCCTGTCCACCCAGAAGAATGCAGACCCCTTTTTCAGTCTTCCTAAGGGAGTTTTGAGGGATCATTCCCGATTCAGCTGCCACAGGTGGGGGAGAGGGAGGTATGAATTAAAAGGCCACATCGCTAACGCCTGTCCCTGCAGTGTTTTGGAGTCCTGTGTGTGTGTGTGTGTGTGTGTGTGTAGGGGGAAAGTTTCAGAACTGCCAGGGACTCATTCACATCTAGGGGTATTGTCCTGCTCAAATCTGGCCATCTCTTGTTCTCAGAATTGTGTGAGTCATGGTGCCTGTTTTTCTGGTGGCCTGTTTCAATGATGCAGAAAAGGAGACACCTTCCAGGACCCATAGAACCCCAGTTCCTCAGTATTAGCCCTAGGCCTCTTTCCTCTGGAACCTGGGCATCAAGCCCCAGGGGGTAGGGAGAGAAAGTGTAGGAGGAAGCGAGGGATGTGTGTAACTCCGGAACTACATTTCCCATAGAGCCATCGGACTGGCCAGGGAGAGACCCCAGGGCCTCCTGGGAGTCGTAGTCCTAGGGCTAGAAAGGGCCCTTTTCTTTATCTTCGTGGCTCCACGCCAGGTTTGCAAAAGGCCGAGTGTACCTAGCCGGAAGCCTGAGTCCGGGGGCCCAGGGAGGGGAGGAAGCTGAAAGCCAGAAGTCCTTTCCTTGGTTTTAGAAGCCGGAGGGAACAAGATATTTTCCTTTCGGTAGACGCTGGGAAAATTCTAGTTTGAAAAGGCGGCCGCCTCTGTGATATCATGGAACGATAGGCGGAGTCTCCCTTTGTTGCGGTCCTCTCAGACTCAGCGTTGAGCTTGTGGGCGGGGCCGAGAAAACTCCCTGGGAGTATCTTTTGGGGAGTTGGGGCCCCATGTGGGAAGCTAGAAGGGGAAGCTGTGGAAATTCCTCGTAGACCGGGGCGAACCGTGACCGTGACTCCAGTCAAAAAGCTCTCCAAATCACGGGACCGACCTCACCCTCGCCCCCAAACAAAATCCTTAATTTTAGGCGTGGGAAAATAGCAGAGTGGAAGGACGTGGCCTGCTCATCCTGCCTAAAAGCCCTCAACCTGGATTCGGCTCTTCAGCGGATCCTTGTATTTGAGGACACAGCATTCAAGGTCAAGGTCGGGCAGCGGCTGTTTAGGGCTCATCGGGTCTCCGGACTCCTCGGTTTCCTAACCGAGAAGTGTGCGCCCTGCAAAATAAGGGTCTTAGTCTCGGGGAAGGGCATCTTCCCCCTTAGCGTGAAAGTGTGGGGTAAAAGGACCCTCCCCGGGGTTCGGCGCGGCCGGAGCGCTCCGGTCGCAATGGATCCGCAACTTCCCTTCCTGGTGGCGGCGCTGGCCGGCTGCCTGCTTCCTGCCCGGGCCTGTCTCATGTGTGCTACAAAGGTCGTGGAGGCGCTAGACTCCTTGGAGAAGACCTACCTGCCTGACCACCTGCCGGCCGAGCGCCACGGAAGCTTTATGAAAAGGGTGAAAGAAGCCGTGCTGGATTTCAAGAACCTGCCAATTCAGGAGGATTCCTATATGGGGGTTGTTGGTGAGGGCAGGGAAGAGCGTAGAAATCCTGAGTCCTGGGAAAGGAGGGGTCTGTGGCTAGGATAGCGGGGTGCCGGACCGGGGGCGGGGCGGGCGGGGAGGGTTTAGTGGGAAGGGAAGGCAGGGCTGGAGGCAGAGCCTACTGGGCTCGGGAATGGAGAAGGCTGGAATGCAGATTCTGGGCCTTACCCAGGGCTGGCCAATACTGTGTTTCCCCCACTTTAGCCTCCACTTTGGTGCTTAAAAATAAAATTAAAAAACTACATAAAAAAACAACTACAACTCCCAGAAGGCAATGGGCAGACAAGTCCTTTACCAGTCTTATCCTTGCCCAGTGGCCTCATGGGTATTGTAGTTTCTGACACTAGGTGAGCCAATGAAGCAGTAAGGCTTGGAATCTGGACTTCTATCTCCCCCTCCCCGCATCCCCGCCTCCCACCCCTCCAGATGAGCCCACACTGGAAAACGCATCATGGAGTTTTCTGAAGGATTTGAAACGTATCACAGACAGTAACGTAGAAGGTAAATACACAGAGGGGCCAGAGGAGGGGCTCCAGAATCTTTCGGAGAAATGATAGTTGGTGACAATTGGTCTGGTAGTGGCTCTGTGAGCCAAACTGTCCAGGTTCAAATTCCGGCTCTGTCATCTCCTAGCCGCATGGCCTTGAGTGAGGGCCTGTGTCACCCTGCTCCTTCCCAGGTGAGCTTTTCGTGAAGGAGATGTTTTGGATGTTGCACCTGCAGAAGGATATCTTTGCCCGCTTTGCAGCTCAGTTCCAAAAAGAGGGTGAGGAAGACGCGAGTCCCTCAGGGACCGCAGCCCCTTTTTCAACAGTCCCAGAGTCCCTGCCCCAGCCTTCCCCCGCCCCCCGCTTCTCTAAGTCCCGCCCCTCGGCTCTCCCAACTCCATCCCCCCTCGGACCCAGGGATCCAGGCACCTGGGTCCTTCCTCCCTCAAACACAAGAGTTCAAACCCCAACCCATTGCCTCCTCTCATCTCCTTTAACTTAGCAATCTGATAATCATTTTTTTTTCTTTCTTTCTTCTGAGGCAGCTTTTTGTCCCAACCAATGTGGTGAGTCCGAATTTGGGAGCTGGTCCTTATCCCTCATGGTCGCTCCGGTAATACCCAGCCGTTCTCCTCCCTCTTTGGGTCTCGATGTTTCTCCCTTCTCCACGTCTGAGAGTTTCCACAGTCCTTTCGCACTGCGGGCTTACTGGAGAGCCCGTCATATTCTATTTGCACTCTTTACCGAGCCTGGTTCCACCCCTCTTCCAGAGGGGCTGCCTTCTACCCCCGCCCCTTGGGCTGACCTCCCCGGGATTGGGCACCTGACCCCGCCCCAGCCCTTGGCCCTACCCTCTCCTTTTAGCCTTGTCCCTCAGGGCGAATACAGCGTTGATCCCGCCCCTTCAGGTGTGATGTTGCAGAGTCTGATCTGGTGCAATTCCTGCGAGAGGCAGGTTCACGCCTGTCGAAAGAGAGCTGATTGCGGGGGTGAGAGAGGGGGGCCGGCAGGAGGGGGGCGGTGCAAGAGGGGCGGAGCCAGAGGAGAGCCTGAATCTAGAGAGGGCGGAGCCTAGAGCCGGCCGACGGGAGAAGGCGGGGCCGAGACCAAGCGGGAGGGAGTTGAAGGGCACCGAACTTGGAAGAAGCATCGCACTGTAACCCCCTCTCCCCAGAGCGCATAGTCGTCGTCCACGAAAAGGAAGATATGATCCTGAACTGTGAGCTCAACTGGCATCGACTCTCTCAAGGCCTGACCGATTACAGCTTTTTCAGGGTGGGGCCCTCTAAATCCCGTAATCCTTGATCCCCAAGTCCATCAGACTTGTGTGAGCCCCTTGATCCCTGTATCCACAGGTTTGCACCCACAATCCCTATGACCCATGACCTACCTACCAGGTTTGGTTTCTACTGATCCCTGAGGACCCCATGTCCCGACCAGTATACCCGGGACTCCCATCTCCCCCGCTGAGGGCCCATGATGATCTCACCCTTGTACAACCCCAAACCCTGAATTCCCCAGGCCTCTGTGACCCCTTGAGCTTGGGTCTAGGTTTGGGGGCAAAATTCTGAGACCTTGCTGTCCGAGGGGAAAGATCCCATCCTGACCAAGACCGCGGTGACCGCAGAGGACGCAGGCGTCTACCGCTGCCGTTTGGGCACTGTCCAGTCCATCCCAGCCACGGTCCTCTTCTTTCGAGTCACAGGTTAGTGCTGGGCTGTTGACAGCAGTGTGGGACTCAACGTCCCGGCGGGGAAAGCAGTCAGCCTCAGGGGCGTGGTCTGGGCCGCATTCCCTTCCGGCAGGGGTGTGGTTTCAGGTCACGAGGGTGTGGCTTCGTGCCTCGGGTGTGGCCCTCCCACCACAGTGTTCAGGCACTTAGGGGCTGGATTCCTTCCTGCAAGGCGTGGGTCCTGGGGCTCGCTGGAGTGGAGCAGGCTTGCGTTGGCTCGGGCGGGACCTTCGTGCCCTCCCAGGACGTCTTCCCTCTCCTCTGTCAGTGTTGCCCGAAAGGATCCGTGAAGAGCTACCGTCAAGCCAGGCTGGGGAGGCCGCAGGTCCGGGGGATTCGGGTAGCCTCCAGAGGCCCCCAGCCGGCCAGCCTACATCGACCCAGTGTCCGAAGTCCGAGAACATGCTGAGAGGCCGTCTGATCGGACTGCTGATCTGGGGCTTTGTGGTGCTGATAATCGGCTTTGCGACCGCGTGAGCCGCCCACTGAAGAAGGCAGGGCTTGGAGCAAGGGGCGGGATTTCCAACGTCCTAACGCCGGAGGGGGTCTGGGAGCTAGGGAAATACTGGGAGCTGTATTTCCGTTGGGGATGGGTCTTAGAAAACAGGGTGGGGCTTATCTAGGTGGGCTAAGCTTGGATCACTGCTAGAATTAGATCAAATATAGGGAGGTTGGGAGGGGTGTCCCTCACTCAGGACCTAATCTGGTTCTGCTGTTTGCAACCCCCACCCCCAGGATACTTTGCTTTCGGCCTGAGAGGGTGATCAATTGCATCAAGAACTGTTTGGGCACCATGAAGGAGTCTGCCACGCCACCACAGGTTTCAGAGGAAAAAGCCACATCATCAAGGCACAAATAAAGATTTGTCTGATTGTCTCAATATCTGACTCATTCCTCCGGTCTGATCCCAACTTTTGGTTTCCCCAGAGGTCTGGGTCTGGGGATGGTCTCCTGTCTAAGAGGAGGGGCTGGGAAGCCAGCTCCTGGAGTCCTGGAAGGGCCCAACCGGCTGAGGCATAATTCCACAATCAAGGAGCAGGGAAAGGCCAGCCCTACCCAGATCTCCTCCCCCAGGCCCAGTCCCCTCACAGGACGCCCCCTCCCCGCTCTTCCTGCCGGGTTTCCTCTCGCCTTTTCCTGTCCCCCACCCAGTGCTGGGAGCTGGGGCAGAGGCAAAGGCTGAACAGGAGCAGCGGGGTCGGGAACCAACAGGGCCAACGGAGCCAGGGCCCCAGGGTGCTGCTGGGACCTGACGCAGGGTAAGTGCCAGGGTCCCAGGAATCCAGACCCAGGAGCCAGTCCTCCTCCACCTCGCATCTCAGCACCCAGGAGTCTAGGCTCCCATCTTTCTCCTCTACTCAGAATGTCTGAGCCCCAGCCCCGCTCTATGACTGAGGAGTCCCAGTACCCCTCTGTCCCTACCCCACCACTCAGGGCCTCAGGATTTGGGGTCTTACCCACCCTTCCTTAGGGCCATGCTATCTGGTGAGCGGAAGGAGGGCGGAAGCCCCCGCTTCGGGAAGCTCCATCTCCCCGTGGGCCTGTGGATCAATTCCCCCAGGAAGCAGCTGGCCAAGCTGGGACGTCGCTGGCCCAGCGCTGCCTCTGTTAAGTGAGTTCCCACCCCACCCCCCTCGAGAGTCCTTCCCCTGCCCCATCTGCTTCCCATTTGTCCCCGTTTATGACCCAGTCTCTGTGCTGGGTAATGCCAGGGGCCGCAAGGATTCGCTTCCAGTTCTTGTCCTGAACGGCAAGTGAGCTGGCAGGCAGAAGGAGACCGTGGGCCACAGCGCTCTCAGGCCCAGGGTGGGGAGTGCTGGGGCTGGAGATGGGGTTAGGCTGGATGGACACGGGGATGGGGACACAGGGATTTGGTTCACCTTCCTTCTTCCCCTCCCTGCTTCTTGGAATTTCCTTCTGGGGGACTTGCTTTTTATTTATGTATTTATCTCTCTCTTTGCTTCTGGCCTCTGCCCAACCTCATCTCTGTTGCTTCCCACCCCCACCCCCGCCCCAATCTCTCACCCTTCTGTGGGTACCTTGTCTCCCATCTTCTTCGCTCTCTGGGGCTCCGTCCCTCTTTTTCTCTGGGTTTCTGTTGCCCTTTCTCTGCTTCCCTGTTCCCTCTCAATGGGCCTCTGTCCACCCCCACCCCGCCCCCACCGCCGCCATCCCTTCCTCCCTGGGTCTCTGTCCCCTCTGTGTGGATCTTTGCCCACCTCTCTCCTTTTCTACCATCTACTCCCTTCTCTGCCTGTCTTTCTGGGTCTTTCTCCCGCCTCTCCACTCCCCGGCGGGCTCCCAGGTCGTCTTCTTCGGACACGGGAAGCCGCAGCAGCGAGCCGCTGCCCCCGCCGCCGCCGCACGTGGAGTTGCGGCGAGTGGGCGCGGTCAAGGCGGCCGGGGGAGCCTCGGGGAGTCGCGCCAAGCGCATCTCCCAGCTCTTTCGGGGCTCGGGGACCGGGGCCACGGGGTCCGGCGGCGCGGGAGGCCCCGCGACTCCAGGGGGCGCCCAGCGCTGGGCCAGCGAAAAGAAGCTGCCGGAGCTGTCAGCCGGCGTGGCCCCCGAGCCCCCGCTGGCCACGCGCGCCACGGCGCCCCCGGGGGTCCTCAAGATCTTCGGCGCCGGGCTGGCGTCGGGAGCCAACTACAAGAGCGTGCTGGCCACCGCGCGCTCCACGGCACGTGAGCTGGTGGCTGAGGCGCTGGAGCGCTACGGGCTGGCGGGCAGCCCCGCCGGCAGCCCGGGCGAGAGCAGCTGCGTGGACGCCTTCGCGCTGTGCGACGCGCTGGGCCGGCCGGCGGCGGGCGGAGTGGGCAGCGGCGACTGGCGGGCGGAGCACCTGCGCGTGTTGGGCGACTCGGAGCGTCCGCTGCTGGTGCAGGAGCTGTGGCGAGCGCGGCCCGGTTGGGCGCGGCGTTTCGAGCTGCGCGGCCGCGAGGAGGCGCGCCGCCTGGAGCAGGAGGCCTTCGGGGCGGCGGACAGCGATGGTGAGCCAGCCAGCCGGATTCTGGGGGCGGGGCTTTGCAGGCTGGGGCGGGGCCTGCCATGGAGGCGGGGCCTGCGGGAGGTGGGGCGGGGACGGGGGCGGGAACGGGGCGGGGCAGGATTGGGGCGGGACTGGAGGGACGAGTCGTAGGCTGGAGGCGGGACCCGCGGGAGAGAAGAGGACTGGGAGTGACCTATAGCGCCGGGTCTAGTGGAGAGTGGGGCTGGGGCCAGACCCAGCTCAGCAAGAGGGGCCAGGCCAGAGGTTTTGGCAGAGCTGGTGGGCGGGGCCTGCGGAACAGAGGTGTTGAGTGGCAGCCTGGCCTCTGGCAGGAAGACTCTCAGAGCAATAGGTTGAAGGGGTTCATGAGGGACCAGGCCCGTGTAGATTAAGCGTAAAAGGGGAAGGGACTTGGGAAGTGAAGAAATGGACTGCTTGATCTGGGCCTAGAGTAGGGCGGAGCCTCAGGGGAGCTGGCCTTAGAGCAGGTGCCCTAGGCTCGGTGGACTGCAGAGTGTGAATGGGAGACTTGAGGGTGGCTCAAGGGAAATGAAGAGAGAGAGTGTTTGTAGAGGCCGAGGAAGGTCATGCTTGCATGCCGGCTGGTCTCGGAGAAGGCCGGGCCTGGAACAGGAGGTGATGCCTTTGGTGGAACAGGGCACGCGGAGCCGGGCCTGGCAGGGATGGGGTCTGGCTCAGGGCCACGGGCCGCTCAGGGAGCCTTCTACAGCTTTTCTGTTTCTGAGTCTCCCTTTGAGAGATAAAGTGGTGTAGTAGTTATACGCATGAGCTTTGAACTCTGGCTTGGATTCCAGTCTATCCTTTGCCAGTTAAACTGAGCAAAACCCTAGGCGAAGGTGAGATGAGATCATGTATAACAGGGCTTTAGCACAAGACTTGGCACATAGTAGTTGCTTAATAAAGAATGGCGATTATAACCATCGCTCTCTCCCCCCCAACTCCCAAAAGCATTCGTTGAGCGCCTACTGTGGGCCACACATTATTTAGGGCCGTGGGGGAATGCAGTGAGCACATGACAGGTGAGGGTCCCACCCTGCTAGGTTTTACAGCCTGGTGAGAACACATCAGTTTACTCCTTGGGCCCGGTGTGGTGCAGCAGTGCCCCGCACGTAGTAGGTGCCCCCTCCCCCTCAAAAAACAGTTGAAAGAATGAATTTCTGAGCTGAAAACTGCAAGGTGGGTAGGAGTCAGGCAGAAAGTGTGTTCCAGGCACAGGGACCTGCGTATGCAAAAACCTAAATGTGGGAAGCCGCCTCATTTCTCTGTAAATTCTTTGTCTCTTTACAATCGGCCTCTTTCCAGTCTCAGCCTCATCCCTCCGTGTCTCTCGGCAGGCACAGGCGCCCCCTCGTGGCGGCCGCAAAAGAACCGCTCCCGGGCGGCGTCGGGCGGGGCGGCGCTAGCCAGTCCGGGCCCGGGGTCGGGGTCAGGGCCCCCGGCTGGGTCCGGAGGCAAAGAGCGCTCGGAAAACCTGTCCCTGCGGCGCAGCGTGTCGGAGCTCAGCCTGCAGGGGCGGCGGCGGCGGCAGCAGGAGCGGCGGCAGCAGGCACTTAGCATGGCCCCGGGGGCAGCGGACGCCCAGATCGGACCCGCAGACCCTGGCGACTTCGATCAGTTGACCCAGTGCCTCATCCAGGCCCCCAGCAACCGTCCCTACTTCCTGCTGCTCCAGGGCTACCAGGACGCCCAGGTAAGCGCAGCCTATCCTACTGGGAGAGGCTATGCTCTACCCTTCCGTGGCAGGGAGGCAAAATTACAACTCCCAGAATTCCTTGGGTCTTGGTAGTCTCAGTAAGGTTCCAGGGTAGGAGATGTCATTGTCAGAGATGGGGCATGGAGGGCCGGCGAAAGGTGGTAGTGGTGGGGGTTGATGGCTGAAAAGATCTGGATGGAAGAACAAGTAGCCAATGGCTCATTTCATGCCAAACTGAGGGAAAGCACTGTCTTTGGGGGGGAGGGGTTGTGAGAGTCTATTGTAGAAAAGGGATCTCCTTGTAAGGTTCTGTTTCTTGATGAGGAGTAATGGAAGTGTCTGTCTTGTTTGGGAAGAAGATAATTTGATGGATGGATGGAATCTTGTTCTGGATAAGCCTGCATTTTTTGGGAAGGAGTGGACTAATCCATTCTTTAAAGGTGCTGGTTTACACTAGAACGATCTGACTATTGTTGATGGGGGTAGGTGATACTCTTACTTCTATTATATATATATATTTGGGTGACAATAGAACTTGCTTGAGTGTTAGGAAGCAGAGGGGGAGAAAGGATTAGGAGTTAGTAGAAAATTATTAGTGGGTTACTGGGAAATTATTTCATTAATAGAAACACAATGTATTATTGGAAATACTTTTGTGCAGGTGATGATTGGGAGAATCATTTTCATGATGTTGTTCAACTTTGGGTAACAGCCAAGTGGTACAAGCCATGTTCAACAGGTGCTTCTGGGAATCAGTGGGAAAGGCCACTGGTGGATCTTAGTGATTAGTCCCATTTTTACTGTCCCAGAGAGTGATCAATCGGGTTAGGTGGCCTGGCTTTATAATTGAGTGAATGAGGAAGACTATTTAGAGAAGGGCTCGCTTAGAAGAATTCATTCTTCCTTGTTGGGGCAAGAGGATGGGGCAAGTTCATTATAGGGAGGAGTTTGCATATATTACAACAGCCTATTTCTCCAGACAAGGTTGGAGAATAGGAGGGTCCATTTTGGGAAGATACTCAAATTGGAAGGATCTGTTCTGGGAGTATAGGGGAGTCTGTTATTGGAAGAGGGGAAAACATTGGAAGCATTCATTCTTTTGAGTGAGGTTCACGAGAAATTCCTTTTTAAGAAAGAGGCTTCATTGGAAGTCTTCCTTCCTTGGGATCAGGAGTA